AAAAGGAAAAAAGGGACAAAGAATAAAGACAGATTTCTGGAATGGTATAGCCTATTGCTCCCGTTTCTAAACTAAAAAGATCCCCCCAGTTTTCTTAAAGCAATATAAATACTGCTGATGAAAATGTAATGTAAAATCATGATTCACTGGGAAGTTTGAAACAGAATGACCATTCTGTAAAACACCTACAAAACAGTTTGCTTTTAATGCCAGAAGTTACTCCGGGTGTAGCTTTTGTTTTCTGCTCAAAAATTCTTAACTCGAAGCAAAGTTAACCTTTTTCTAACTATTATTTTTAGGTTTCTACTTTTCCCAAAGCAGCTGATAATGAGTCTTCAAAAGCCCAAGAGGAAAGTATTTAAACAAGAAGCAGCACAAGAAACACCTCAAAACAAAATTAATCAGCACAAAGGGGAGAAATCGGAAACCACAGGATTTCTGAACAAAGCCATGCCCTAGGGTTGTACAGCAGTGCTGTACAATTGAGGGAAAGGAAGAAAGAAAAGTTATCTAAAGTTCCGTATTACTGCAAAATAAATGTTTTACGGGATGTCGTTTTTAGTGCAGAGATGTCTGAGATTTTCCTGCAGCAGCTATGACCATGGTCTCTAAGCTCAAACAGCCACAGGCATACTTCACAGGAGTCTAAATTGTGACTGACAAAGATTAAAAGAAAAGATAAACTAAAACATGTTAATGGCATGTATAATGACAAAAACAGCTCAAACACCCATCAAATCTCTGAGAACTCACTTGGAGCCTGATGGCATGTTCATGTTTCCTCTTCATGTCATTTATATGCCACGCCACTCTCTGCATCGTATCTATGGCATCCAGCACCACATCATAGCCCTCAGTGTCCTTGTCAAGGTGGTTTTCTATTTCCTAAGATGGAGGGAGGGGAAAAATAGTCCTGTTATTTCTAAATTAATTTTCCCAGCCAGATGCAATTCTATGTTTTTATCTGCACTATTTTGTCTTTGCATTGCGATCACTCAAATGCAATGTTCCTGCTTTTGTTACTACTGCGTGTTGCTATCAGTTTGATTAACACGAAATGACTAACAAAGCCAAGCCTTTACGGCCAGTTTAGCAACCACTATACTTGCAGCAGCTAATGCGAGCAGAGAGGCACAGAAAGAGAGTGCAGCACGCTGACAGGAGACCTTTTCAGACAGGGTTTAATGGCTTTCTTAAATCACAGAACACATCTACACACTTACAAAACCCTGATGGAATTACACTAGGCATTACTTTACAGTTGGAGAGCAGAAAAGCACCACACATTTCAAAGAAGAATCAGTGTCTTTACACTTCACTAGAACATGACTGTCTAATAGGAAACATATGTGGAAAACGTTAACAATAAAGCAGGAATTTCCGAAACTTGCTTAACTCAATTCACCGAATATGGAAAGAGTTCCCACTTCCTCAGCCATTCCTCTCCACAAAATTCTTACCAATCAGAGTGTTTACATGTATTTAGTACTTCCTTCAACCACCCCCAGCATTGCAACATGTGGAAAAATGCTGGGTTTCATTGGAACAATAACTCTGTGTACAAAAGTGTTTAATCATGACAAGAATCTTCCAAACAAATTCAGAATTACAGACCAGTTGTTTTTTCATTTAAAAAAAGCTAATTATTTGGATGCACAGACTGATTCAACATGTCTAAAACAATTACCATCAATTCCCCACTCCAACAATACGCACATGCTGTGAAGTGACAGAGTCTTCATATTTAGAAATCAAACACCCCCTAAAGAGAGGGCACCAAAAGAAAGCCAGAACCTTTCTAACCATCAAGCCTTGTACTAGAGGCAGGAACTCTGACATGCAGCAGCCCTAAACAAAATACATTTCTCATGGGTGCTTACGTGCAAAAGCAGGTGGTACTTGAGGATGCGCTGGACAGGTTTCAGGAGATAGGAGCCCAGGGGCAGAGAATGCTGCAGTGCTTCTTGCCGCTCTCTGAAGAACTTGGCCAGCGTCTTGTTCCTCATGCACTCTGTCAACACAGCCACCGACCTGGAAACATTAATACATAACTTTAAAACATACTATCTCCATAAGTCTGTAGGTAAAGTCAAGAGTTTTCTTTCTTCCCCTGTAAAAGGGGGCAGCAGGTTCCTAATGCACTCACTGCTGGGTTTTGTTGTTTTGTTTTTTTTAAGTTACGTTGTGAATTCAGTTATATTTTCCTTTGACATGCAACCTTTCTCTTTTACTGGGAATCACACATTTGGAGCAACACAGAATAAGATCATCATTTTCTACAGGATGCTAATAGCAAGGTAAGGCGAGAAGTATCAAAATAAAACTTCAGATGAGTTAGGTTTTTTTAAATTTATTTTAAGTTAAGAAAAAAAAAGATAGACTCCTTGATTCTCCCCACAATTTGGAGGGGAAAAGGGCACTTTTTCTTGTACAGACTGTAACTTGCATTACATAAACAGGCAAAGGGACAAACGAAAAGAAGGAACCCAGTATTCCTACCTTGGGTAGTTGGTGCAGTACTGTGTATATATGTGGAAATCTTCACTCTGCATGGGGAGGAAAGGTTTACATACATTCAGGTTTTGTCAAACCAGTAGCTAGCACATGCGCAAGATAAAGATTATGACATCAAGACAACACCTCCTCCAGTCCCTGATCGATGCATTCACTGTGATAGTCCTAACACTGCCATAGACCCCCTAACCGAATTTCATTTTTCTTATTTTGGAGATCTTTCCTTTACTTGAAGGAAAAAAGAAGAAAACCTACACAGAGATAAAGCAATCAGCTTTGTAACAGAGCCTCCAAGGTCCTTTATGACAATTTATGCAACTTAAAAAAAAAAAAAAACAATAAACCAAACCACAAACAAGAAACACACACAAAAAAACACCAACACACACCCCCCCCCTCCCCTTCAAACAAGCAACTTGCACATACCTAGCTTTGTGTGTGCTAAAGAACACATGCTTACTGGGAGAAGAAAGGTTTGCACGTTATGTTCAGTGTGCAATTTTCAAACAACTATAAATACTTTCACATTTGAGCACAGTCTAAGCGTGAAAATTAGAAGTCACAAGTGATTTATTTTTTTAAAGTAAATTATGACTCTGAAAGCAGACAGTTATTACCCAAACAAGTTGTAACTAGATTTAGGTGGGTTTCCACACTTGCCTGTCACAGTGAAATTACCCACACTTAATGCTGACAAGTTTCTCAGAGTAAAAGCTTGAGTTTCATTTCTTTCCTCCTTGGCCTAAGATTTTTTTCTTCATCATCATTTAACTCTATGCAAGAACAGGTTTCCAGAAACATTTCCATGTGCTTTAAATTCACATCTGCCTATCAACTTCTATCCTGAATAATACCCAATTTCTGCAGCTTGCCGGAGTCCCAAAGACTAAGAAAGCACTGCACAACTGCAAAGAGCTCCTAAAATAAATTACTTTTTCTTTGCTGAGGTAGTAAACAAGACCCCAGTCTCCACTGGAAGCAACTTCAGAGCGGACTCTGGCATCCTGCAGCACAATAGCTGCGCTCTGCGAGGGGCAGTTGCTGCTGAATGGCGGCGAGACCACCTACCTGCCCTCACAGAAGGCAACAGTGCTTTGCAGAGGAACCCACTTGGGGAGAGGGCTGATGCAGGCTGTGGCTTTTATTTCTCATTGTTGGGGTTGTTTTATTTTTTTGGCTATCCATCAGAAGGAGCCAGCTCAGGCCGTACGTTTCCCCATTTCCAGCAGCACTGCTCCCTGCCCCCTCTCGCAGGGGTAAAGCAGGTCGTGCGATTCATTGCTCCACTGAGCAGTGATTCCTAAGGACCCTGTATAAAGTAGGGTACTACTCCACAGGAGTACAAGTCGCTGCAATTCATTTCAGTATTTCTTACTGGAAATATTCACTGTTCTGAAAAAATAACTAACTCAAGCAAAATTCTAATAAATGTTTCTCTAGGGGCTGTGATCCCCATTTACTCACTAGTGGGATGTAAGGTTCTTAAACTGCTCTTTGCTTAGAAACCAACCAACTAAACGTAGTCTTGAGACAAATACAGTTAAAAGATTTAGCTTGGTTTTTCACGCTCGGACTAATTTTGCTGTCGCAGCTAGTTTTTACGGTGGTGTACGTCCGTCCCGTGCCCACACCCAGAGACAGCGAGCTTGTGTCACAGCCTGTCCATGTCCACCCCAGCTCCAAACCCTCTCTGCTCAAAATGAAGAACGAACAAACCTCCGAGCACTGCAGACGTTACACTGTGTAATTTTTAAGGCAATCACTGCCAAACTAGCTAGCACTCATAATAAATCAAGGTGCTTAAGAGAGATCATTATGATGAAATTCAGTAAGGCAAAAAAAGGTGATTTATTTTATATATGCATATATTAATACAAGGGTTTTTGTTTAGGGCTTTTGATATAAAATGTAATGCATTCCCATGGCTACAATCACAGAATAACGCAACTTACAGAACTACTTCATAAGCAAAGTGCAGAAATTTTGTGCCAATTTATTTTTTAGGAATACATTCTGCTCATAAATATAGTCACATGATTGTTCTGTTTTTCAAACAAAATGGAGAAGAATATCTGTTGTGAAATTTTCACAAATGAAAGCATTATCTGTAAAACAAACAAGGCCAAACACTTCAGGGTTTCAGAGCAGACTGCATGCACATTCCCCACAAAATCAAAAGCAAGTCTGAAACTCCCAGGAGCCTTTTCACACTCTCTCTCTTTGTTCTGGTTTTTGGTTTGGTTTTCGTTTTTACACAAGGTCAAAACTACTTTCAACAGGATTTTTCGTTTTAAAAGAATTTTAGTCTAGCTATTAAATGGAATAAACTTGTATTAAAAAAAAACAGCTTTCAGAATGGCTTCACATTCATCCCTGCTTTCTGAACAGAGATGACGCCACAGTTCATACTGGACTTGTACGTGTACTTGCTTCATTGCGCCACGGCTCATTTCATCACATGAAACCATCAGAGAGCATTTACTTTTACTGAGAGCATTTGCTCTTACCAAGCTATGCGAGAATAATGCCAGTAGAAAGCCAACTGCACGTACTCTGCCTCCAGAACGAGCCTGTTGCTACGCACCCAAACGTAGGAAGCCAGTGTGACTCGAGACCGTACACCTTGCCTAGGCATCGCAGGACCCATGTGACACACCGGGAGGGTGGCCAAGGAGCCGCTTCCCGGAGTGGCTCTCCCCTCGCCTGAGGATGCTGTACCACGCAGGGCAGCCGCTCTCCCACCGCCCACCTGGCTACCCAGCACCTCCGCATTGGCAGAGAAAGGACCTCCAGTTCACGTGCCCGGTTGGTCCTCTGCCTCACAGTAGACTGCCCAGAGCAAGCACTGTGTTACTGGGAGTGTAGCAGAGTGTAAGCCGAGCAAGCTAAAGCCAATGCTGTGAACCATGTTCAGAAGCAACAGAAAAAACAGGACTAAGATGGACCTAATACATTTCTATCAATACTTTCACGCTGTAAGGGAAATGCCAGATGTGCTCATCAGTATTTCTTTGGACATTCTTAAATTTACTCAGCTTGAAATCAGCTCTGGAATCGCTCCAGAGATAGTTTTTAACCTGGGGGCCCAAAGCTATTGTGGCAGAGGGTACAAAAACCGAGACCCAAGCTGAGAGTTCACCTGCACTGACTACTAGTCACCGTCAAGAGCAAGCCAAGCACAAGCAGATCCCGGCTATACTTGGCTTGTCCCCCGCTGCTGACTCCATTCACTGCCCATCTCCTCCAGATAAAGTGCCAAGCACGTGGCTACATCTCCAATCTTCGCTCAATTCTTGGTACGTTGTGCTTTTTATAGCCATAAAAGGCACTTTAACAGAAAATGGAGACTGAGAAAATGAGCTGAGACAGAGCGTAAGATGAAGCCAATTGCCTGGATCTCCTCTTCATTAATGAGATACTAGATTAGAGTCATTCTCCCTTTCCCCTTGGTTGAGCTGTTGGTGTGTCTTTCAGAAAACATATGTTCTGAATTTCTGGGGTGCTGAATGAGAAGAGCGACGCGCCAGAATTAAGTGAGTTGTTGTAAACGAGAGCTTAAATGTAAACGTGTAGAATACTGAAGTCAATCTTCTAATTCACATTGGCATCATTACTATGAAAATGAAAGACTGAGTTGGCAAGAAAACTTATTAACAATCTTCTATGTGAATAATTAAGCTATAGTTAAGTTTGCACTGGAACCCTTTTATCAGCCTCTGATTACAGTTACCAGCAAAATGTCTCCAAGACATTGAAGGTACTAGAGTTAATACAGTTCTTCCAGACAAAGATGCAGGACCAGAGCTGGTATAAACTAAACTAGTACACCACTACCCTCAGAGGCAGGTTATTTCCACAAAGCAGACTTCCCACACTGTTTACACAAATACCCATCCACACCATCTGCATCTTGGGGCAGAAAGGTAAAGGCAGGAATTCATGACTTGGCCAACAGGTTTTTAAAAAGCGTGCTTTTCTGCATTTGTGTCCATTTGCCTGTGAGTTGTTAATGAATTAAAATATCTGGAAGCAGGGGGATTGAAAACAATGTTGTAATTTGTTATTAAAGATTTGTATTTATATAAAGTCATAGCTTTGCATGGTTATTTTACCTGTTAGTGAGTTTTATGTTACTAACTAGCTTACACTAAAGATATCTCACTGAATTCTGTTAACAAATAAAAGCTGTCATTTTAGGAGCTATTTAGTTTGGGCACTCAGCACAACAAATATTAAGATAAAGATTCAGATCCACAATTATGAGTTTTGGTTCAGACTGCGCTAATGTGAGTTGATAATCCTTACTATATTTCCCTTAGAAGTAAAAGTTGCAAGGCTGTTTACTACTCAAGGGCGAAAGTTACACACAGGAAGCACAGCAATGTATAACTGTGAGGGAAGTATAACACGCTATACAACAAATTTTACTGAGCAAAACCAAATAACAAAAAGTCAAGGTCAAAGAAACAGTCTATCAAACGCGGCCCACAACTAGACCTTAAAAAATTAAGCTCCCTAGAAAAACATCTAGGGATCAAACATTTTAGTTGCAACGAGCTCCGGAGTTACTTTAATCATGAGCGTTCTGTTACATGTGTAAACCAACTTCGTGTCACTTCACAGGAATCCTGACGAAAGAAACGGCTGTTACTCTGTGTGGTTACCAAGCTTCATGAAACGCAAAAAGTAAACACAGTACCTACAGGGAAAACTTGATCATACATTAAAATTCCCACAACTACAGTATTCACAGCTGAACCAGCAGGGTGAAAACAATGGCACTAGAGCCGGAGCTCGTGTAACCTAAGCACAGTTCCACTGGAAGCATTAAAGAAGCTCCAGCAGAGCTACATCCATTAGCTAAGGCTGTGAGCTATGACTTCAGCACGATATTATCCCCATGCTTAACTCGCAGTGAAGACCTAGCACACTCAAAGCAATCAAACAATAAATGGCCAAAGTCCCGTAAGACTTGAAGGACCGCATACTGCCAAAAAAGGCAATTTTATTTCCACTGCTCAGTGCTGGGAAGATACAAGCAACCAAGAATGGACAACTGGAGTCTGTTAAGACAGTCAGCAGTTGCTGTAATGACATCTTCACAGCCAAAACCAGAACTGCAGAGTATTTTGGTATTGTTTGATTTCACTTTTAAGTGTTTGCACTTGTTTGGATGAAGCTAAAAAATGCTTGTTAGGACTGAAATCTCTAGCCATTTCTGAGCCATCAGGCAGTTGCTTGCCAAGAATACAAATGCTAAAAGCATTTGACAAGGGAACAAAAAGCACAAGCAATGATATGCAGATGGATTTTGGAACTAATGATCAGAAAGTCTACCAGAAAACTCATTTCAGCTGGCCAATATGAATGAGAGCACAACTTTTTCCTGGACTTGCTATTATCACTTGCAACACACCTCTGTTTCATGTCCCAGCAGTCCCAGCTATAAGCAAGCAACCCAGCAGAAAGATCTACCAGCTCCAAACTGTGGTGTCTGTAAACATACCGACGCCTCACAATTGGCCTTCACCGCAAGGGCACTCTCCTGACTTGTGCTCAACTTCTTGTGCACCAGGACCCCAGATCCCTTTTTGCTAAGCTGTTTCCTAGTCAGCTGGACCCAGTGTGCACATGGGGTCATTCCATTCCAGAAGCAGGACTTTGAGCTTACCCTCATCCCATTCTCTCTCTCAGTTCAGTATAGGCTCTTTGGAGCAATAACAACATGCCATAAACCAGGCAACCAGGCAAAAATACATCCTACTTTTGCAGTACTGGTGCCAACACTAACACCTCCCAGTCCTTACCAAACATCAACAACAGCTTTCTCAAACTCCAGCAAGCAATCTGGGAAATAGCAGCACTAAGCTGGTAGCATCACTCCCCTTTACGATAAAATCCCTTGTGTCACCACAGCGCCAAACAAATTACTGGGCCACCGTAAGAGGGTGGTCCAGTTAATCCTAAATCTTTGTGTTAGACCTATTACATCAACTGCTTGGTGCTGGCAATACTGAGTTCAGAACAAAGTATAAAGCATGACAGGGTCTGGCTTGCTTTTTTTTTTTTTTTTTGTAATGGAAGAAACCAAACACATCTACAGAGAGATTACCCAAATTTAAACAACTACATGCCCCCTCTTCTACTCCTCTTCCCCCAGAAATACCACAGAGATGGCATTATTTCTTAACGCCTTTGGGCTCTATAGATTCAAGGCATATGAAGGTTCTCTGGTGAAGTCTGCAGTGAACCAGAGTCATCTATAGCCCAAATTACTTGTCCTACGCATTACAGCCATTCCCCTTCTTCCTGACTGGCTCTCTGCGTTTACTGCAATGAAGGACACCCACTTTGGTTCCCTGTATTTCTCTTGCATCTACCAACTTCTCCATATTTTTTAGCTTCAGAATTGCTCAACAGAATAAAGATGTCAGATCAACACTCAGAAAATTCAAAATATTTCAGAGAGAATGAGATTGGAATCTTATGGCTAGACTTTGGGCCGTTCCCTTTAAAAAAGAAAACTAAAGTTATGGCTGCTGGATTCAGGAAAAAATGCATCTCAGAAAACAATATGGCCACATGTATGTTATAAGGTTATTGCCTTTTCTAAAAATGCAGTCAAGCTGTATTCTCTAGTTGTTTTTAAACTGACAAGGCATAACTGGCGTAGCACTTCATCACCTATATTGAAAAAGAAGGGAAAAAACCAAACCCCTGTAATACTCAATAAAAAGTTCTAAAAATGAACTCTAGATCAACAGCCCCACCAGTTCAGATACACTTTTTGAGGAAAATAACACCTTTTTCCTGATTTTTTTAAAATGTAAATCAGAGGCATAGCCCTGTCACCTACTAAGATATATTCCTTCCCTTTCCATAGATTTGCTAACGTTTCGTGGTTGAAGTCACACAAGCTGTCACAATTAGGTCTCAAAAGCTAATAAATTAATCTTATTCCCCCATATGACTCTGCAACTGGCATTGGGCTGCTGACTCCTGCAGTAGCCACTTACCTTGGAAACAAAACAGTCTGCTATAGCCACAGGATCATTTTCACAGTTTTCCAAATCTTGCAGAAGTTCACTAAAACAAAGAACAGCAAAAGGAAAGACAATTATGGCACACCTTGGAATAGACGCATTAGTATATTTGGAGCCAGACAGTGCTTCATCATTCATGGCAGTGATGCCCAAAGCACTTAACAACGAGTCCTAAAAAGGGAACAAGAACCCCTTTGATGCCCCTCTTCCCCCTGGATGTATAGCTGCTGGGGTTTTTTGTTTGGAGGCCGAGGAGCACTCTAAGGAAAAGGTATTCCCACATACTTAAAAGTTCAAGTCATCCCAATGACCATGGACTGCTGATCTCCTAAGCAAAGCTGACCCCCTTACTTCAGATTGACAGCTCTTCTACACTGCTTACAGTGGTGCAGTCAGACAGTTGTGCAGTTGTAGATCAGCTAACACAATTTAAAACTAACACAATTTAAAAGATACCAAAGCACGTGCCCAGTCCTACAAAGACTTTGTATGTCCTAGGAGCTTTACTTGACTGAGGGAGATGAGGAGTTGGTCTGAAAAACACAGGTGGGAACCAGGGATGTATTACATATACAAGAAGAACGGTAACAAGCTCACTCAGAGAAATTTGTCTACCTTTAGTGGGTCTCTTCACTGAAGAAGAATGGTTAGCCTGGAAAAAGTTTTCTGGAAGGAAATTTATAAATTCTACATGCATAAAAATAAAACCTTACTGAGAGGATTTCATAATTTTGACAAGCCAAGCAGGAAATGAATTCACTGTAACAGGAGCAAAGCAATAAGGCAGCATGTTCACTGGTTTATGAAACTCCATTCTCAAAAGTCAGTTCAGTGACAGAAAGAGTTCAAGCAGAAGAAGAAAACCTCAAAGGTCTCTCCTTGATCCAAATCATCTTTAGTCTTACTGAAAGACCTACTCAGAAAATGGAAAGAAACTGAGTTTTCTGCCAAATTGTTCTCTGATAGAACTTTTTTTTTTTCCCCCCCCCCCCCCCCCGAGCTATGGCGAAATCTCTCTGGATTTAGCAGCACAGCGTAGATTTAACAGAAAGTTTAACCCCCCATCTCATCAGCTGATTTTCCGTTTAGGGCTACTTTTCTTCCAGTTCACAGCTGGTTCCCTGAATGAGTTTTGCATACGAGTTGCTAAGCCTGTACCTAGGGAACTATCCTTTTCCCCTCTAAGCAGACACAATTTCCCTCTAAGTAAGAAAAGGAGTAAACCAGCAAAGCTTCCCGACTTGTTCTTTGCTTCTCTAATTACTGGAGGAAGGAAGGGGAGAAATCAGCTATCAGTCACAAGGAACAAAGACAGACAAAGACCTTAGGTTCAGTGGTCACTAAGCCATGCTGTACAGCAACAATTTAACCTCCACACCTCAATTTCTCCCTTCATCAAAATGAGAATAAAAATACGACCCTTGCTTGATACCCCACATTCATGAAGCTCCTTTACATCTGCAAAAGAGCAAGCTGCAGCAACAGTGACCGTAAGACACAGTGACACAGGTTTCGGAAGTAACA